CTCTCTCTCGCTCTCTCTCTCTCGCTCTCTCTCTCTCGCTCTCTCTCTCTCGCTCTCTCTCCCCCTTCCCACCTTGTGTGGAGGGGACCAAACCTATATGCAGTACTCTGGGTACAATCTCAATAATAACTGGTACAGTTACAGCAGTTTTTCCCTATTTTCAAACTCTCTTAGTAAGAAATATCAAAATTCCACTTGCCCTCCCTCTTACATGCTATATCTGCATGCTAGTTTTCTGCAATTTGCACTCAACGGCACCCAGATCCCTCTGCAATGAAGCACTCCGAAGTTCCTCTGATCAAAATGAATAACCTCTGTCTTCCACGTCAAACTCTATTTGCCTAATTTTGAACCAGTCACCTAACCTATTCATATCCGTTTGTAAATTTATTTCTTCATTGCAACTTACTTTCCCACCAATGAGTGTCATTTTCTTGTTCCAAGTATCCCATTAAAAATGATAGACAATTAATAAATGTGTGTGGTGAATCTTCAAAGCAGAAGATGTGCTCGTACAACAGCATCTCAGTTACTGCAATTAATTGCTAGTAGGTAATAAGATTATCTTTCAGTTGCTGAAAAACCTGTCATGATATAAACCCTTCATACGAGCTGCCAATAGCAATTGTGGCAAATTTGAGGCATTTGTGGAATAAAATGCTGTGCTGTTTTCCTGACATGAATCTGTTTTGTATTAGCCAGCTGCAATTAGCTTAATCGAAAACACCAGAATGCACATTGGAATATTTTTAAAGCACATTACTTTTTAGTTTGGATTTGCCCTGCCCTCCCTCCCTCTTTGCTAAGATCAGTATGTTAGGCGCCAGTCTGTCTCTGGAATATTGCCCAAAAGACTGATGTTTAGGTGTAAGGCTTGTCAGTGAGTGTCCACGAAGGCCAATACAGTTTAAATTTAATCATTTATTATGGCATTGCCAACAGGAAGTGGCTATCACCTGGGAGCAGAAAGTACGGTCAATTTTTAAAATTTTCTCCCTCGCACCCACACCCCACTAGTAATATTGATGTTTGTTTGTCCAGAACCAGGGGTCACAGCCTAAGAATAAAGGGTAGCCTTTGAGGACAGACATAAGGAGGAATTTCTTCACCCAGACAGTAATGAGTCAGAGGAATTCTCTGCCACAGGAAACTAAGTCCAAAACATTGAAGACTTTGAAGAAACTATGTAGCTATAGTTCTAAGAACTAAACTGACCAAAGGAAAGGGGGAGAAAGTGGGAACAGGATACTGAGTTGGATGATCAGCCATGATCATGAATTGTGGAGCAGGCTTGAGGGGCCGAATGCCTACTCCGCTTACATTCTATATTTCTAAGGAATATGTTCTTTTGTCCCTGTTTTTAATGTAGATACTAGCCAATGCTCCCTGCAATTTTTTTTTGAACATGGACAATTTCTTTTAAGTATCCTCCCACTTTAAAGTGTTCTGTTCTGACTCTGCCCCTTCCCCTCTGGTAGTTTGCCAGCTATGAGACCACTTGTAGTTCAGTCCTAAACTGGCTGGTGCCACTGTTAAGAGTTGTACACTTTCTCGGTTTCTGTAGGTGTGCGGATGCTAGATGGAGAGGTGACTGATGCTGTGGAAGCTCAGTCCCTTAGTATGTACCCTCAACATATTGACATCTACAGTGCTAGCTGGGGTCCAGAGGATGATGGGAAGACAGTGGATGGTCCTGCTAAGTTAGCGCAAGCAGCATTTTTTAAAGGCATTTCTCAGGTAAAGTAAATAATGCTTGTGTGAGTTCAAGATATATGTACAATTGAATGTTCATTTTTGCATAAATTTGATTGGCCAAATGACCTGTGTCTCTGCGTCTCATATGCAAGGGGTTTGGCTAAAATGCAGATTTAACAAATGTGAGCAAAGACCATTTTGTAACACAATTATGCAATAATGTTTTGTTCAGTACTTCACAAGGTGAGCATGCTAACTTGTTTTGATGAAATATTTGCAGGGGCGTGGTCGTCTGGGCTCAATATTTGTGTGGGCTTCTGGGAATGGTGGCCGAGAACATGACAGCTGTAACTGTGATGGATATACAAATAGTATCTACACCCTTTCAATCAGCAGTACAACACAGAGTGGGAATGTACCTTGGTACAGTGAGGCGTGCTCCTCAACACTTGCCACCACATATAGTAGTGGAGGTCAATTTGAAAAACAGATCGTAAGTAGCTGTTATGGTGTTAAAAGTTTCGTTGTCCAGAGTCCTAATCTTTGTGTGCCTGCTTTGTTATTAACAGAACAATATTGGAATAATCTACATTCATTTTCAAAACGTTGCAATAAAAGGTCTTGTAATTGGGTAAATATCTAGCAACAGTAGTGCCTGTATTTTTCTCATTCAGGTTTTACTTTACATTATGCTAGTGGCTATTCACCTGATTCAGTCACAACTTTTAAGATGTTACTTCCTCCTTAGAAATATTAAAGGGCATGCATTAAGATCTGGGAAAACAAGATTAGAAAGGACATCTGAGTTAGACAAACTTGCACTGATGGTTTCCTTTGTGTGTAAGTCCATCTGCTTTGTTTTGAGTGTTTACCTGAAGGTTTTGTTAATTCCTGCTACATTAGCTCATCTCAGTTGGATGTAAGAAAAAGAAGCAAGTACAAATATGGATACAGCTACATTTGAACGGGCAATAATGGGCAAGTTTAGACATAGTAATGTTTTATGTAAAGGTCTTTTAGAATGGGTAGATCACAAACCTAATCTGTTTGTTTCTTTTGATGTTATTCTGTAGCTGATGCTAATGAGCCATTTTTAACAGGCAAATAGATTATTATTTTTTAAAATCTGCCATGATTCTGTACCACCACCTTTACTAGTAATCTATTCCATAATTCTCTTGTACACATAATAAGGCTAGTTTCTTCCAAACGAGACAAAGTCACAGTGGTGCTTTCCTATAAAAAGCTGTGGAATTTGGAGACTTTGATCTCTCTACACTCCATCTTGTGTAAGCCTCTGGTGCATTGTTCGTTAATATCAAACTAATTTGTGACAGACCTCGGTACAAACTGCCTTTGTTAGAATCATCTGGATAGATTTGAATTTTGGCACATAAAAAACACTATAAACCAGGTGTTAATGCTGCATTATTCGTATTTGTGATCTGTTCAGAAAACATCTGGTCTCAAGTAGAGACTGTTGAATAGTTCAGATTGTGATCCTTTATTGGAGTTAGTGTGGACAAACCTGTTTTGTATTGCCTGTGTTCCAGCTGTTGGTGCCAGTTTTACTGCTTTGTTGAGATGGTTGTAACCTCCTTACATCTGTTCCTTTATTTCTATCCAGGTTACCACTGATCTCAGACAAAAGTGTACAGAATCACATACCGGAACTTCTGCATCTGCTCCTCTTGCTGCTGGAATCATTGCCCTTGCACTGGAAGCAAAGTATGCATCATCATGTAATCTATCATGTAGCTATTAGTATAATGTTTGTGTGCTTCTAAACTTCTAAAAAAGAGGAAACAAAGTTGTAGCTACTTGCTATTAAAACTGCATTGTGTGATCTTATTGTTTAAAATGTGAGCTGTATTGGTAAGACGTTAGTCCCATTCTGTACCCCTCTCCCTCAATTCTGTCCCTATTTCTCCTAGAGGTGCTTGAATTTTGCTGGGGTGTACTTTCATGGGTATCATTCAATTGATCATTCTACACTTCAGCCTAACCTAAGTGTCTCGGCAAGCTTTATGACCAAGAAAGCATCACCTAGGCCAATTCTCGATGTGTCCGCAGAAATCGCTGCATGCTCATTATACAATGAATTATTTTCCCTGAAACCTCTTGATACCGCCTTGCAGCCTAAAGTTCTTAGAAACCAAACCAGAGGTAGAAAGTTCTTTCCATGATTTAATATCCTTTATTGGTCAGAACTTTTGGGTACAGGAGTTGGGATGTCATGTTGGAGCTGTACAGGACATTAGCTAGGCCCCTTTCAGAATATTCTGTACAGTTCTGGTCACCCTTCTGTAGGAAAGATTAAACTAGAGAGGGTGCAGAAAAGATCCACATAGATGTTGCTGGGACTGGAGGGTATGAGTTACAGGGAGAGGCTGAATAGGCTAGGGCTTTTCTCTCTGAAGTGTTGGAGGCTGCGGGGCGGCCTTACAGAGATTTATAAAATCATGAGGAACATGGATAGGGTTAATAGCCAACACCTTTTTCCAAGGATGGGGGAATCCAAAACTAGAGGGCATAGGTTTAAGGTCAGAGGAGCAAGATTTACAAAGGACCTGAGGGGAAATTTTCTCATGCAGAGTGTGGTGCATGTATGGAATGAGCTGCCAGAGGAAGTGGTGTGGTGGGTACAATTATAACATTTAAAAGGCTCCTGGATGGGTATATGAATAGGGGGGTTTAGAGGGATGTGGACAAAATGCTGGCAAATGGGTCTAGGTCAAATTAGGGTGTCTGGTTGGGATGGACGAGTTGGATCAAATGGTCTGGTTTCATGCTGTACAACTGTGACACAGTATGTTTTGATTTGAATTGCTCAGTAAATTTGCTAAGTCAATTATAGAATCAACTTTAATTAAATGTAAGTTTGTTCCAACATGATTTTTATACAAGAATAATTGGTTAAAATGAGCACATATGCATTTTAAGTTAAAGATCTACACTGTATCCAATTAAATAAGTGATTTGCTTTGGTTTTGCCATCCTTTGCAATTTAAATCACTTTTTAATCGGAGGCAGAAGTATGGTAAAGTAGTATTCTGTTGAAAATTGTATGCCTCTCAAATAATGCTGAAAATCTCATTAAATTAATTTTCTTTCCCTGTAGTAAAAATCTGACATGGCGGGACATGCAGCACCTTGTGGTACGGACATCCAAACCTTCACATCTTTCAACTAATGATTGGATTATCAATGGCGTTGGCCGCAAAGGTAAGCTGTTTTTTTGTTTTTTTTGCTTAAATCTTGCAATGAGACTTGTCTTGAAATTAAAGAAAAATGAGCCAAAAACAGCCATTTGAAATTATCCCTGTGGTCTCCTATTATAATAACCAGCTCCACACTTCCTGTTCTCATACAGTCAGTCACTCCTATGGCTACGGGCTTTTGGATGCTGGAGCTATGGTTGCATTAGCTAAGAACTGGACAAGTCTTGGAGATCAACGGAAATGTGTCATTGTTATCACTTCTGAGCCAAAGTAAGTGTTCGAGGTCTTTAATCTGAATTTCCCTTGTAAATAAGCAGCATTTTACCATAACTTGTAATTCATACAATCATAGAATTGTTACAGCTTTTACTTAGGAATTATAAAAATAACAAATGAATAACTATTAATGTGGATTGTGATGTACATGAAGGAAGATGTTTGTGAATAAATTCCTGCTACAATTATGTGAAAGGTTCTTTGCCTCTTCTTTCCATCAATTTTCTTTTCCACACCAACCCCATCCTTAGGGTATGGATTCCTGTTCAAGTTATGGTTTGGCTTGTACTGCGTGGTGTTTTCCAGTACTTCTGGTTAGTGGCTGTCAATCTGTGAAACTTGACAGTAGTTGCAGGATGCTGGAAGAGATCCCAGCTGTGTGTATGTTGTTCATATCTGATATCCAATAGCAACACAAGATAGCAACCAAACGTTACCCTTCCAGAACCTGTGGTGTGAAGATCAATTCTTGTGTCCCAGTGACCGGTCCAGTTAAGTTGTTACATCAGTTTGCTATGCAGGAATCTGCAATTCATTATCTTAACCAAACAATCTACAGGAAGCTTCTCCCAATGTTGGTAATGATTCTGGTTCACTTGTTAATGGCCCCTAGTGTCTGCAGACAAGAAAAAATACAAAATTTACCATTCCAGTCCCATTTGCTTCCAACAGAACATGACATTGCCATAGTACTCCCTTCCCCTGATGTGGTCAAATAGGCCATCCATTCTTATCCATGCTATGTAACTGAAAATTATTTGATCAGTTAACTGGCAATTCACAACTATTTTCCCCTTTCCATGTGGAAGGTCAATTCTTTTTAATGCTGTGTAACTGTTGAATCAACCCTTGAATATTTTAAATTGAAGCTTTTATGTCTTAAATAACATTTCAAGAGTTCAATCAATACAATAGTTCTTCCCAAAAGGAGTCTAATTGTACTCAAAAATTAAGACTCTTTCCCTCAATAGCAGAGTATTTTCCAGCATTTTGCATTTTTATTTCAGATTTCTGGCATCTGCAGTATTTTGCTTTTATTTTTGTCTGTCTCAAAACAAACCTCGGATTAAAAGTCATTGATTCATTGTCGGCCACGCTTTCCTTATAGTACCTGACTGAACCTGACTCCCCCACACCCCTCTGTATGCACACGGCGCGGTTTGTGGCTGATAAGAGTGCAAACTGAAATGTTAGCATGCTTAAAATAAGTTCTTGAAGTGCTCACAGCTCCAATGTAGCACTTTATAGGAGTCATGCCCTGTGTTGTGTGAGCTGGTCCTATCCTGTCACCAGTTCCCTGTAAGGTCAGGTTACAAGCTGATTTGACTTGCGCTGTCATTTTAACACCACCATTAAAATAGATTTGGAGCTTCCTGTTATAAGTTAATATTTATCCAAGTCATATTTGAATTTTTAAAATTTGTATTTGTAAAACGCTGACTGACTGAAAAGATTATTCATGGAAAAGAAAAGAAATTGACACTTATTTGATATCTCTGATGCTGGGTATCTCATTTTAAGTTTCATGTGTCTAACTAACTGCTACTTGTGCTTAATCAGGTCAAGGAATGAATGGTTATTTTCTGTGACAATAGGGTGTCTGACAGGTCAGTTACCACAGTACTGTGGTTGGCAATATAATAGGAGGATTAAAGACTGGTGTGTGAGAGACTCAGCTAATAACCTGCTTCTAATGAAGGGACAATTGTCTACTACCTATGTGAAATTGATCTGCTACAATTATTGTTTGTGTTTTTGCCAAATTATCTTTTCGGAGAGATTATTTAAAAAAAAACGTAAGCAATCAATTTAATACCCAGTTTGTTATTGACTATTGAGATACTCTTCCCAAAAATGTTATCATTTTACTACCTCTCACTGCTCATTTTGTTATTGTCTGAAGTATTTCAATAGAATCCTTGCATTTTGTTGCTTTAATGCAAAAGCTTAGTGTCAGCGCTTCTAAAGTACTCAGCCGCAGCAAGCAAGCCACAAAACCAAAGAAGATCCCACGTGTAATAAGTGGCCTGATATTAGACAGGCGGCAGCAGCAGGGTTAAGAAAATTTTGGGAGGGGTAATTGCTAGGATTCCTGCTGATGATTTGTTTTAGCATTTGACCGTTTTGAGTTGTTTGTTTATAGGTAACAGGTTTAAACAGACAGATTCTATTATGAAGATAGAATTATTCATGTGCACTCCAAACCAATTATATATCAGACTCTCAGTCCAATTCACCTAAAGCCTGCACTTTGTTTCACTAATGATGTTAAGACCTAGTGGGAGCTTAATTCTCAACCTGATTCTTGTGTTCAATCTTAAAATAACACTGTTATCTTTTAAATTAGCAAAATAACTTCACAAGGCAAGTTATTTATACTGCAAAATCTGTGCTATTTCTAGATGGAAATGTTATATACAGTAACTCCTTGATAGATTTTTGTCCCTGTAGAATTCTGTCAGAACTGTTTTCGAACCTGTGGTAACACAATCTAATCGGTATCATTTTCACTAAAAATGTATCAGTCCAGTTTTCAGTGTATGATGGTGAGCTGTTAATATCTGGATAGGCGAAGCAGTTGGTTATATTATTTGCAGCATAATGTCCATTAAACAAGAAGTCAATAGTGTAGGAAAATCCTCTTGATAATTCAGTGTCATGGGAATGTGATTTTATCATGTAGATTTAGAAATAGGATACAGATGTTTGAAGTTTAGTTGTCTGTCTCTTGTACATGTATTTTGGTTTTGTACCAACTCTGGATAGGTGGTGTCATAGCAGTAATGTCACTGTACTAGTATTGCATAGCCTCTGGCTAATGGTCTAGGGTCATGGGTTCAAGTCCCAATATGGTAGGCAATGAAATTTGATTTCAAATTGTTTTAAAAATTGGAAATAAAAGCTAGCTTAAGGTGACAAAGTAACCACTATCAAGTGTCGTAAAAACCCATCTAGTTCACTAATGTCCTGTAGAGAAAAATCTGTTGTCCTTACTGATCTGGCTTGCATGTGAGTGTAGTTGACTCTTAGTAAGCTGTTTCAAGAGCAATCAGTTCACAAACAACTAGGGATGGGCAACAGTTGCAAGGACTTGCCAACGGTGCCCACATTCACAGAAAATAATAAACAGCTCAAGCTATGCAGTGTAACTTAAAAGTGAAGTTGGTTGAACTATATTTTGGGATAATGGGGATGATAACCTTGTCTTCAACTTTATCTAGTATTGCTGCAAATTCTTCAACTTTCATAGAGTAATGGAAACAGGCCCTTCGGCCCCAAACTAGTCCATGCTGAATACAGTGCCAACTCTGCTAGGTCCAATTGGCTGCATTTGGACCATATCCCTCTTAAACCCTTCCCATCCATATAACTATCCAATTTTTTTTTAAATGTTGCTATTGTACCTGCCTCAACCACTTTCTCTGGCAGCCCGTTCCATGTACGCACCACTCTCTTCGTGAAGAAGTTGCCCCTCAGGTCCTTAAATCTTTCCACTCTCACCTTTAAACCTATGCCTTCTAGTTATCAATTCCCCTTCCCTGGGAAGAAGATTACATGAATTCATCCAGTCTGGGCCCCTCATGATTTTATGCATGTCAGTAAGGTCATCCTTCATTCTTCTACGTTCCAAGGAATAAACTTTATTTTAAACTCTTTAAAAGCTGACTGTCAGATATCAGTGTCATCTTGAAACTGTTGGCTTCTGCAATCCAACTGTAGTTTGAACAAGTGATCATATAGTAGGGAGTTTCAGAAGAATTTGGGGAATTTATAAAACTTAATATTACATGGAAATGTTTGTGCTTGCCTATTTTGTCAAATACTTTCTTAGAATTTCCACAGGCTAATGTTCTGATTTAATCAAAAAGTTATCACGTGCGTGCTATTTATCCTTGAGCTGAAGACTGTATTACATTGGCACCATATCCACAAGCATCCACCTCCTACATCACTGAAGCTCAGTAGCAACAGTGTGTGCTGTCTACAGAATGCACCACAGAAATTCACCAAAGATCCTCAGACAGCACCGCTCAAACACACAACCGCTTCCATCTAGAAGGACAATGGCAGGAAGATAAATAGGAACATCACCACCTGCAAGTTCCCCTCCAATCCACTCACCATCCTGACTTGGAAATATATCGCCGTTCCTTCACTGTCACTGGGTAAAAATCCTGAAATTCCCTCCCTAACGGCATTGTGGATCTCCTTACAAAGCACAGACTGAAGCAGTTCAGGAAGGCAGCTCGCTGCCGCCTTCTCAAGGACAACCCGGGACAGTCAATAGATGCTGGCCCAGCAGTGAGGCCCACATCTCATAAGTGAATAAAATAAAACAATCCTACAATGAAACAAAGAACTGGAGATCTGAACAGGTCTGGTAGCATCCTTGGAGAGAAAACAGTCAACATTTTGTGTTCTTCAGAATTGAAGAAGGACTCAAAACATTAATTCTGTTTTCTCTCCACAGATGCTGCCAGACCAGCTGAGTTTCTCTAGCTATTTGTTTTTGTTTACGAACAGCCCTGCTGTGCAAAATTCTTTAATGTCAAAACTTGGACACATTCTAATTGGCTGTGTGTCAGCATTCCTCTTTACTTTCTGATGTGCTTTCCACTTGTGCTTGTACTTTGCATTTTCTTCTCTGCGTCTATCCAGTGAACCAACAATTATAATTTTGCCATGCAGGCCAGTGACTGACACACTTCCAGAATCTAACATAAAAATGTAGTATCCAAATAAACACTAAATGCAATAACTGAAAAGGCTTTTGAATTGCCCCAGCATATTTGTCAAATTTGTAAAACGTTCATATACGTGAGTTTCTTAAGCCAGTTTGGACATGGCTATGCATGCATGCCAAGCTAATCTGTTTCTTATGGTATTTGAGAAAGGTTGATGGGAATGATGTAATGCACTGTTCTCCAAACAATGTTTAGAGACCTTCAGGTTTATCTGAACCACCAGAGTAGACAGATGTAATATCCATCAGCTCATCTTAGGGCTGACATCTTAGATAAACTAGTATTCTAATGTGCGAATGATGTATTATCAGCCTAGATTCTTCGCTCAAGTCCTAGAGTGGACCTTGAAACCGAAACAGCTTGGTTTGAAGGCAAGAGTTCCACCAGCCAGGCTAAGCTGAAATGTATGTGATTCAATTTGGAATTTGCACTGCAATAAATCCCTAATCCCAGAAGACCCTGGGTCCCAGTTGACTTAACAAAAGCGTAAAAACTAGGAGCAGGAGTCTATTAGGGGTCCCTCAAGCCTGCTCTGCCATTTGATATGGTATCATCTTGATATGACTGATATCATCTTGGCCTCAATTCCACTTTCTGCCTGCTCTCCAGAATCATTCAACCTATTCCTAATTAAAAATGTATCTGTCTGTCTCCTTAAATTTACTCAATAGCCAACATCTGCCACATTTTGGGTTAGTGAATTCCCCAGATTCACGGCCTTTTGAGAGGGGTACTTTCTCATGTTTTAAACCTTCTATCCCATATCCTAAAATTGTGACCCCTCACAATCACTTCCATTCTACATGCTGATGGATTATTTGAATTGGTATTCTAATGCTGCCTTAATGTAATTCAGAGTTGAGAAATTTCTACAGTTCTGGTTTTCAACTTATTTCTTTAGGGATATTGGTAACCGATTGGAGGTGCGGAAAAGGGTTGATGCATGCCTTGGAACTTCAAATTTTATCCGCTCCTTAGAGCATGTGCAGGCAAGAATTACGCTATCATATAACCGACGTGGAGACTTGGCTATATTTCTCACCAGTCCCATGGGGACAAGGTCAACTCTGCTGGCACCAAGGTATGATGTTACTGCAGCTCAAAACAATGAATGCATGAAAATTACTAATATTAAATAACCCACGGATGATAGAAATTAGCTTGTAATTCTTTAATGGGTAAGTTTTGTTGGTATAAGTGTCTTTGATTTTGGCAACATTTTGTTAATTTGTACCTAACAAAGAGGATTTTAAAGTTCAATGTGTTGAGACCCACAGAGGACTGGCTGGATGACCCACTTGATCTGCAAACATAATCGACTAAAGTTCAGTGGAAGACTGGAGTAAAAGCAAATGATCTAATTGCTGAGGAAGATCAACTTGAAACTCAGTTCACAATCAGTGGTTCACTACTTGTGACCAGCAGACCTGTCACTGAGAAGTGGTGGCTTTGTCGTTAAAATCACTGGACTGGTAATCCAGAATCCAGGGTAATGTTCTGTTAAATCCCACAATGGCAGATGATGAAACTTGAATTCAACAGAAATCTGGAACAAAACGTTAACCTAACGTAGCTACAGATTAAAAACCAAACTCATTCACCATTCTGAAGAAGGATCTAGGCCCGAAACATCAGCTTTCCTGCTCCTCTAATGCTGCTTGGCCTGCTGTGTTCATCCAGCTCTACATCTTGTTATCTCTCATTCACCATTGTCCTTATGGGAAGGAAATCCGCTTTCCTTACTTGGTCTGGTTTATATAAGTAAAGACCCATAACAATGTGGTTGACTTTTAACTGCCGTCTTGGCAATAAATGTTAACCTAGCCAGTGATACCCACATTCCATGAACAAGTAAAACAAAAGTTGTTAGCTAGTCACCTGGGAGCATTCACTTATCCCTTCTGACAAGGATAACAGTCAGAGCCTTGATAGCAGATACAGCAATGCACATTATAGCACTCCCTAAATCAATATCTAGAGACACTCTCTAAAACACTCACTAACCATTTTGCTAAATTCTGTACACACCAAGTCACTTGCAAACAAAGCACAGTGGTAGTTTGAAAGCAAGCAACTATCATTGTTGAGTTTGTGCCACTAACGTATTCTGAAAGAGTCCTGCCAATGGAACTTAAGTAGAGTTCTTTCTGTAGAGACAGCAATGTGAGTGATCGTTGCTCTGATTATTTAATTCAGTTAGGCAGTGCAAATATTAGGTGCTTTGAAATACAAGAGATTTAAGCCTTCCCATTGTTGAAAACAAGCTGAGTCATCTTGTTTATAAGAGGTTGATCTTTAGTGAAAGCAGTTAACGAAGGTAAATTATCTGGTACACTATATCCTTGTGATTTGGGAGTTTTTGCCTATGTCCAATTTGACAGTGTATATAGAGCATATGATAAGGTAAAATAAATCTGGCTATGATTGGACTTTCACTGTCGGGGCAGTCTGAGTCACCTTCACTAGCAATAATTTACACAAAATGTGAATTTACTCGTTTCTGTGGAACTTGTGCTTTAGCTACAGTTAATTCAGACCCTGATATGAAGAATCAGAATAAATGTTTTATTTCTATCATACCTACTTCCAAGGATAGTAGGTGGTCAGGGCAATACCGTAAATGTGGTGATTTTGGTGTAGGATTTCAAAAGATCACAAATTCCTGTCCAACACTGAGCAAATAAATCGTAGACTTGCCATTTCTATATAGAGTACTGATATTGCATGATTTGTAATAAAGGGGTATTAAGCACTGTATTGTACACTTTCATAATTGATGTAGTGAGTGTAGACTTCAATCTTTTCAATTCTGTTAGGGCAGAAATGGAAGTAAACAATGGTATCAATTTTGCTTGGTCTTTTGGGATGGAAGAACCATTGGGCTTTGTGCTCACTTACAATTGTCTTGTTATCTACTGCAGACAGCATGACTACTCATCTGAGGGATTTACTGACTGGGCATTCATGACTACACATTCCTGGGATGAAAACCCCTCGGGAGAATGGGTTCTGGAATTGGAAAATACTTCTGGTGCAAATAATTATGGTTTGTTTCTGTATTTGTCTTTAAGCATTTAGACTAAAACCCTTTCCTATAATGGCTGTTGTGAATTATAGAAACTGTATTACAAGAAAGAGTTGCAGCAGTACACTGGCCTACCTGCTCTCGTGCCTTTTTTCTCTGCTGTTTCCCCAATGTCGTAATATTTTTCAAAACAGTTTGGTTTTTAAGTAATCTTGTTTCTGCATCTTGTATATTTCATGACCTAACGATTCATTATATTTCTTCAATTACTTCCAACTGTTCCTGGTAATGGTCTCCTATCTCTAACCCACTAAGTTGCTAACCAGCAGGAACAGTATTAACCAAAATTTCACAAGTGAAATACTGCTAGTACTGGAAGTAGCATCTGTGGAGAGGGAAGTAGTTAACATTTCAGATGCTGCCAGATTTGCTGAGTAATTACAGCATTTTCTGCTTTAGATTTAGATTTACAACAACTTCATATTTTCAAACTTTTTGACTCTTAAATAAGCTCATTATTTTCGACAGTAGTGTGATCTGAATCCCGATGAGAGAAGGTAACTTTAGTGGTTAATGTGTATCTTCATGGAAAGTATGTTGAAGGGCCATTTCCTAACTAGTTCGTACTTGCCTTATTTGCTAGCTTGCAGGTACTGTTCTGTATTTACAAAAATTAGTGTCTTTGTAGTCTCCGTTTTGTTACTGTCCTCGTTATTGTTTTTAAATATGCTTGCCCATAGCAGAGATTTTCTAATAGAAGTTATCTGTTCAGGTACCCTGAGACAATTTACACTGGTTCTTTATGGGACGGCACCAACGAACAACAGCCAGCAGAAATCGACCAACATTACACTACCTGCCAAATGCAAAACACTGAACTCTCAGCAAGTGTGTGCAGGTAAGTAAGCAAGAGAAAGTATAGAGTTGAATTTAATGAGAGGAGTAGAGCTTTGTCTTAGAGCGCCCTCTACAAGCAGAAATGCAAAATAATTCATACGTCTCTCAATCCGTAAATGTTTAACAAGTTAATTCTGACTCTGAGGGAGAACAGTTCTGTATTGAGTTTGATTTTTTTCAAAATGTTAGAAGTTAAATGACCAAAGAAAGAATTAACTTTGAAAGAATTTTCAATGAAATTGAAATACATTTACAGAAGGCTGTTAAGATGTTAAAGTTATCAATCAGTGGTTCAGCAGTGTTTATAGTGTCACTTAACTTGCATTTGAAAGTTTTTCTGCTCAAACCTTTGCTTTGTGCACAAGTGTGTTAGCCTCAACTATTGGGCTCATCTTGCAGCATTATTGCTGGCTACTTGGTGCTAATTGTCTCTGTGAGAAAACCTTTTTTTGTCCTTGGTTGTAAAAGATGGAGTTTCATAGTATGATGGGGCTCGGGGAAAAGGATCACAAAGTTCTATTGTAAATTCTAATTTGAAAATGTACTCTGTGTAGCTCTAAAAGATTTGTGTGAAGTTTATAAACACGGTGTTGGAGGTGATTTTGTATGGATAGGTGATTGGCTAACTAACTGGAAACAGAATAAATGAGTCATTTTCAGGTTTGCAATTGTGATGAGTGGAATGCCACAGGGATCAGTGCTGTCACTTCAACTATTTGCAACTTACGTTAATGATTTGGATGAAGCTGCAGGATGTATTGTATCCAAATTTGCTGATGATACAAGGATAGACAATGAAATGGATACAAAGAGCTCACAGGTGAGTGAGCGAAAACTTAACAAATGGATTATAATATGAGGAAAATGAGGTTGTCTACTTTGGCAGCAAAAATAAAAATGCAGAATAATTAGATTGAGACAGACTGCAGAATTCTGCATGAAATGGGAATCTGGTGATCTTATTGAAACAGAAGATTCTGAAAGGGCATGACGATGTAGATGCTGAAAGGATATTTCCCCTCATGGGTGAGTTAATAACTATATGGGCCATAGACTTAAAATAGTTTAGAGATAGAAGAATATCTTCCGGCATGAATTAATCGGAATTCTTTTCCGCATAGAGTAGTGAGTTGTGTCAATAAATACATTCAGGGCAGTGTTTTTATCCAGAAGGAATTTAGGGTTATTGGAAAAGCAGTTAAGAAAGTAGAGTTGAAATCACAGTAAGATCAGCCATGATCTTGTTGAATGGCTGAGTACGTTAAGGGGCCGAATGTCCTATTCCTCCATTTTTACGATCTTAAGTGTTTTATCTTAAATGCCAAATTCAGCATCCATGCTAACTTGGCTACGTTACTACTTGTTTGGATCGTTCATCCATTAAAGTCAGGTATGACAACAGCACTGAGATTAGAAATTTGGCCACCCACCTAAGTGTTATGTTAACCTTGCAGGCATTGTTCTGGTTATGGTGGGTAAGCATTGATGGTAAGATACAATGTTACAGTAATTTGTTAGTTTTTTTTGTCTTTCAGCTTTTAGAATTTTTCTTTTAACAAAACTTAGGTAAAATGCTAGAGCCATAATGTTGAATGCAGTGACTTGGCTAATACTCCAGAAAAGGAGGGGGGAGAAACGTCATTTGGGAAACTGTAATTAGATAATTCTAGGTTTGAAAGGAATGTTAGGGAAGGGTGGAATAAGTGTGAATTTTAACTTGCTTTCCCAGGATTGAACAATTTGAGGGAGTGAAAAGGATTGTAAGATGCACTACTTGCAGTTTAGATTTATTCAGAAAGGCTTGGAATAAATATCCTAATTGTGTTGAGAGACATAGGGACCAGAAAAGTTTCCTTTGAATGTGACGGATGATCAGCAAATGTGGTATAGAATAAAAGTATTTTGGGGACTGAATACATTAAATTTGAACCCTGGGTTTGCAAAGCAACTGTCATTGGACAGAACACTGCAGACAAAATTGAGATATCGGGTGTTTTCTATATGAAAAATGGCTCACTGACTTCATCCTGAATCTTGTCATGAAACGTTAACCACAGGTGATGAACTATATTGAAGGCATGGATTTGAGGTTACTGATTCACATTGGAACTGGACATTTTCACATTGAGGCTGTGTGCATTCTTGTGACTTAACAGGTGCATTTTCAGCTCTCTACACTGAGCAAGTCATGGCTTGGTAGAACAACAATTTAAATGCACTTAAATTTTACCAACTATCTTGTGTGAATTTCAGTACGGAGCCCAACATAATTTTGCAGGATTTCTTAAATTATGTTAGAATTGAAATTCACCCTAAATATCATACTGGATTGTATTAAATTCCGAATGGAAAAAGCGCAGTGACCAACAGCAAATCCCAAAGGCATAGTATCATCAAATAAATTTGATAGAAATGCATTTAACAGTACAGTAATCAGTTCATTTATTTATTGCCTGAGTGGATTGGAACCCAACTGATTTTGAGACTTCATTCTATTATGGCTTTTATTTTACAACATTTTTTAAAAATACTAGCTGCCTGTGGGTCCTTTTCTGGGGGCTGGGGACGTCTTTAGCTTTGAAATTCCATCATTCAGAAAAGAGGCAGTTATTTATATTCACAAAATGAACATTGACTGCTACAGTTTGCAGTCAAGTGACTTCATTTTTTCATGATCTGTCACTGGCCTATCAGGGATAAACTGGCACGGTATACTTGCTGGCTACAGATCTAATGTGATGAGAGATCTCCAGATTAGGACGACTTGTGACCAACATTATGACTAAATAGCAGCAAATTGTGCTGATTAAACTGCAAAGCGAGAAGCAGTACACCAATAAATGCACATCTTACTGCATTTCTCTCAGTTGACATGTTGGTGATCTTAAATTTTTAGAACTTCTGATGGCTTTGAGTGAATAAGCATAATTCAGAAAATCAAGGTTCCATCTGTAGTATCTGTTCATTTCATATTGTTCTTAGCTGGGTAGAAATAGGCATTCTACAATTGAAGTCCATATCACTTGTTTCGGGAAGGAGGGAAAATTTGGGCTGTGATTCCTGCTGTGGGATATTGTGTGAAAATATGGTTGAACTCCATTTGAAGTTCCCCTCGTGGATGAATAATCTGTGAACGTTGACTGTCTTAAGTGCTCGTATAATGAATAGCTCCTTCCACACCAGAAGTAATTGTTCAGCTAAATTTTAGCAATTGAGGTACACACCTGGATTTTATAACAAGCAAATAATTGGGAAAATGCTTTGAAAAACATCAAAGTTTGACATTTAATTTATGCACCCTGTTGTGCCTTTTAAAAGGCTTCTCTAACCAGCAGGCTGTAGATACAGCGGGCTGTGTTTATTGAATTTATCTTTCATTATAATCTGCTAAACATTTTGGGTGCAGTGCCTCAGCTTTGTTGTAAATTGAATTACAACTTCTGCTTTCTGATGAGCCATTTCTGCACCTTTTAGTGAAACGGTATCTGATGCTTTGATCACCATTTTTTGCCATGTTTCAACAGGGAGCATTTTAATAGGTGTTGTAAAGAGTTTTGACTTTCTCAAGTTCGGTGGTTATTGTGTCATTTTTAATTTTAGTTTTTAAGGAGTTCTAAATATGGTATCCACCCAAAATCTTACCTGTCCTTTACTATCTCCCTATAATAGTGGACACTAAGTATTTCTAGTGTTTGTTTTTATTTCATGTTATTTTGGGTATTAAGATTAGAGCTTTAAATTTGCATTGCTAATTTGTCTACTTCATTTATTTGAGAGTACCCATTATTTTATTTGATGTTGTTAAGAGTGACACTGAAGGAGTACACAGTCCCTCTAGAACTACGAGTACACAGTTTGCAACATAATACTTTTTTCTGGTTACCAGGGTAACTAGTTAAATACCTTATCTATCACTAAGTTTTAAACAAAATTATCTGTTAAGAGTTTATTAATTACAATTATCGGTTTATTATCAAAACAAAATAAGTTAAGGTGCAATAATTTGTTAACATACACAGTCGGTAACATAATTTATAAATGCTTACCTTATAAAAATCCCTGAAACATAGCCCACCCTAACCAGATAACAACACACTCCCTCTGCCAACAGGATCTATAGAAAAGCACACAGTTACCACCAGTTCTCCTCTAACCATAACTACTTCTTAAATTTTGTACATTTTAAAACATAATTTGTTGATGCAAATCAACTTTGAAAGATCAGATTGTCCTAATCGTTTGCTTGTGGTGAATGAAAACGCAACAAAAGTAGGTTTGACATCTTAGTTAAATATTATACAGTCTTTTGTCTGTCAAATCAAATTCAACCACACCGACTGTGTGTGTGCGTGTGTTCTTGGACCTTGTTTTATTATTAAATCAAACCTAACCTTAAGTGATAGGAAAAATGTTTTATATTGTCTCAATTCCTTTGCCTTCCATGCTTAGAACCTCAGCAACTGTAAAATTGCCACAACTGAAATTGTTTCTCAAGTATTTGTTTCTCTCCTATTTTGTCTTCTCAGAATGTGAAGGTGTATATTTTCTGCATCAGCAAAGCTGTGTGGAAAAGTGCCCACCTGGCTTTTATAAAGGATTCGTTGACAGCCTCTTGGACAACAACGTTGAACCTTCACAAGTTTTGGCCTGCCTTCCATGTCATGCTTCTTGCCGCACATGCAATGGATTTACAGCCAATCGCTGCCTATCTTGCCTCCCTCATTCACACTACAATGAAATGGACTTCAGCTGTTCACCCCAGATGCAAGTCAGTAGGGAATCTCCCTTGGAGAATGAGGAAGTAGTTGAACCGCTCACTGAATCTCAAGTACCTATATGGTTTGCTTTTACCATCTGTGCCTTCATCATAATGGTATTTTTTATAATATTTATAGTTCTTCAGGTCAGGTCAGGATTCCAGTTCAGCAAAGTGAAAGTCTACACTCTACAAAATGGGAAAGGAATTATATCTTACAAAGGAATTTCTGACGTGTGGAAAGATGGTGATTTATCCGAATCGGATTGTGAAGAATTTGATGTTGAGGGCCAAAGTGAAAGAACAGCATTTATAAAGAAAATACAAAGTGTCCTCTAGTATTTCTGTTTGTTGTTCCATCCCATTACTGATGAAGGGTTGTGTGTGTCTCATTTTCATGGACTTCAGTGAAAACTGTCTTAAAGTGACAAGAAATCCACACCCATTTTTATATGGAATGTGGGTGCTTGAAATAATGTTGGACACAATCTCTTAAAGCTAAACTATTAATACTGGAAATTGGGCATTTTTCACAGCTCTTAACTGAGGTAGGTTGGTGTCTTTTTAGTTCCCAGCAAAATGTGGTCAGGGCCATAGAATGGTAGAGTGGAATGGATTCTTTTTAATTCAATATTGTATGATAGCTAATTATGGAAATTTTAAGACTCCCAAAATTGACAATAGCACTGTACCTGGATAATTTGAAGTTACTTAATTTTGAGGAATTTGAAATTACTATTTAGACTTTCAGAAAAGAATTTCACGACGTGATCATAGGGGTCAGAAGCTTAACTGACATTTGGTAATGTCATAACCGACTTTTGAGTTGTAAAAATGTTGGTTTCAAGGGTATCATTTTTGCACTTTAATTTTTTTTTAAAATTTCATCCCTTAAAATGCTCACTGTATTGTAACTGAAGTTTGTATTACTTTTTTTTAATCTCTCAATGAAATCCCTCTGACTTGCTGGGTCACTCACCGCCTCCAGTTGTTAGGTATTCAGACCTGTAAGGTCTCTGATCGAATTCCAGTCTGTGCTCAATTAGGGTATTCTAGTTATGGCTCTGTACCCTTGGGGGTGGGGGGGTGGGGTGGGGTGCAAGGAGGCAAGAAAGAAACTGTGCTTTCTACTGCTAAGAATGTACATATGGATGTCTAACTCAAGTACAAGCTTGATGAGCTCAATGGCTGATCAGCTTGATAATGCTTTCTTGCCAGAGCTGAGATGTGAAGATTGGAACCTTGCTTAAGTGCCAACAGGCTGACAGGAACTGTCACTTCATTGATCTGTCACCCAACTTCAGTCGGCAGTTTTAAGGAGGGAAGTTTAAAAAATATATATGTAAAACTAGTTTGTCAGCAGGGATGCCACGTTCTGGAGGAGATTAGGCACTGGCTATTTTTGGGTTAAGAGAATAAGTTGATAATGAAGACAAACCACGTGAACATTTGTGTTCTTTGCATAATCGAAATAATTTTGAGGTTGGTGCTAAAATGGGTTATTTGGTCAAGGAAGAACTATATTGCAGCAAGTTACTGATTTAGTAAAATTATTTAATTTACGAGCAATAGCAACCATTTGGGGACAAAAAGCCCCTAAGTAGTATAAATATTTATTGCACGTCACGTTACTTACTGAAGTGTTGATTTGACACACCTCGGTAGCACTTTGTATTGTTGCCAGAACTCTTGCTCCTATTTAACACAGCATCATTTTCAAATTGTCTTCCAGTTATTTTAATTGAAGTATTTTACTATGAACATACTGTATGTTGTTGCTTGAAGAAGTCTGATCTCTCAGAAGTCTGATCAGCTCCTATAAAACAGCAAATAGAGCAGGTTGAAATTGGGCATTAAATGTGATTTTAATCTAAAGATTCACATTTTCTTAAAGCAGGATTCTAAGTTTGGTATGCAGGATTTGTAGATTCACATGTGTTCTTTTGTTGATCTGTTTCTTAAAGTTTAAAGGAGCATTATTTAGGTATCTTTTCATTTTAAGGAAAATGCAACTGGTAAATGGGTAACGAGTTACCTCTGGTACCTAAACTGTAATCCAGGCAAATCGGGTGCAGTGGGAGTTCAGTCTGTAGTTGTAAGGCCCTTATTTGAAATGAGTCTGGGAGTTCTCAGTTTTAATCCCAAAAGGTGTGGACCCATTGCACAAAGTGCCCTTAATTTGGTGATAATTCTGCAATCTCTTTCAAAGGTTGTAGTGTGGTAGGTATGGAAAATGCTACTGATGTCTGGTCCTCAATCAGATCAAAAGCCAAACTTGGACAGGTCTGTTCTGAACAGTTTTATAGTCTGTACCCTCTGATCAGTGTTGCTACCTCCTTAAGTAAACTTTGGATGCTTAAATTTTAGTTTTTCCCTTTTTACCATTGGTGCCTCCTGACCTGAGATGGTATGTTGTGCTGAAAATTCTGGATATTAGCTGTGAAAAATGTTTACCTTCTCTGCTATATGTCTGTACGAAAGAGAAAACCTATAATGAGCACAAAACATTGATGGGTGGGAAGTCTTTCCCTTCAAGGAGGGGTGTTAAACTGAAATGGGAATTTGGAACAGCAAAATCTTCAGACCGTTGAAACCCTCTCAGGGTGATTCACTGATGACATCAGATTTTCTTCAATGAAGCAAGAGAACTGCCTCAGTAAATTAGTTTTTAAAGTACTGCATTATTCTTAATTTTTATAATGCATCAAAAATTATGGGTAAAATGTCAAGCATTCAAAAGGAAAACTTCAGGGCTGGTCAGGGAATAATCTTATTGCAGAATTTGGTTGCATTTGCTATAAATGTGTATTTTCATAGCTCCTGCCTAGTCAAATGATCCATTTGTTCCATATTTGGAAGTGTAGTACTAAACCTTTTATTCCCAGTCAGTTTACCACAAGGCATATGTAGAATAGCTGCACTAATACACTACAAAGAAATCAATAAAACCAGCACTTCAGTGCTGTTCCATATGCACTTAACTCATCACCTCAAGCTGTTCCCACCATTACCCTAGCCAATGCCTAACTTGTTCCCTTCAGTAATTCATCCTACTGTTATGATAATAGTTCCCCTAGAACACCGAAGTCTAGAAGGATAGTCTCTTGCTTATCGCTCAGGGAGTCATGGTTCAAGTAGACCTTTCTCAAAAGTTCACACCCCTGTTGCATTTCACCAGAATCCAAATGGGAAAATGATGCATTCACACAACTTCACATTATTTGTGTGGAGTTATAATAGTACAAATGCTGAGTTGCTGGTTTCGTGTGAAATAATAAGGCAGGAGACTACATTTGACAAGTTTGAAATCAGATTTTGAAACGAGTATTAAGGATAGAATAGATTGTTGCCTTGAGCTAAATTTGAAAGTCTGTTCTGCCAGTGGCTGAGCTGCATTGTAAATGCCCAAATTTCTCCTCTTAACCAGGATGTAGGAGTATGCCTTGGTTGGGGGGATTTAATTTTATTCTGCAGAATAACTTGCTAAGTGGGAATGATGTCTTCAGTGAAGTATTGTGCTTGTATCACAACCTTGCACATGGTTCTTACAAGCCAAACAAAATGGAGTGGAAAGGATTCTTTTGGACCTCATTTGAAATTGGCCAATACCGATAGCTATCTGGTAGAAGCCCTAACATTGGTCATATTTTCCTGCTTGCCTGAAGTCAAAACAATAGTTGGGGTCCTATATTTGACCTCAATACCCCGACATCAGTGTAAAAGTCTTTACTGTTCCTAATTGGACACTGGTCACCTTGACTGGAAAGTGCATGTGCAGGAACGTCAGTTAATGGGGCTCGGTTTGATTCTGACCCTATCTTAGTTAAATAGACAACTACCTTCCATTGGGTTATGATATGGCATATGGCCATCTAGGTAATGTATAGCAGGATAAACTAAGCCCAACTAGAATTATCACATTCAGGAATTGAGGCAAGAAAAAGTACCAAGGGAAAAAAGATACTTACTTTCTGATGCTTTGTGCAAGCCATGTTCAAAAAATGGGAGTTTAAAGTATTTGAAGTTTTCAGGTAAAATGAAATGATTAGGATTTGTCCAATTAAAGTTAGTCTGGTTCGTGGTATGGAAGTTACAGTCTAGTCTATATGCTGCCGTCTCCGAGTGTCCTGTGTGATTTAGAAGCCTTACTAACACAATTCCTGATTTGTGTTTTCTATCGACTTTGCATGCTATGCACAATATTCTTTTCCCTCATTAGTAATGAAACTCAAGCACTGAATTAGTGCCACAATAGCATTGCCAAAATCTAAAGTGTTTAGGCAGTGCTGATTTTGTCTGGCTTTTTTGAACTTGAGTAAAGTGATGGCACCATGTGACTTTTAATAAAGCAATATGATTGTGGGCCTTGGGCTGAGGGTAGGAAGTATGTGATTGTCAATCAAGAATTCTTAAAGTTACTGTAAATAATTGTAATGTATATAATAAATCACGATTTCATAATATGCAACCTCTTACATGTGTAAAGGAGTTGAGCAGTATGTATGTGTCCATCTGGGAAATACTGAGTGGAGTTTGATTGGCCTGGTGCTTTGTTGGATGATGAGGAAATGACTTTGCTTGTTCTGCTGCTTTGTTCTTGCAGTGCATTGTGGGATACTTGGTGGGGTGGAGGAAAAGGGACGTAGCTATAATTAAAATGCTATTGCATTGTAGCAGTCTCCTCTTGTACAGGAGGAATCCTTGTACAGATTTCCACACCCAAGTTCCACCCCTAGCTGTATTGTACCCAGGCACTTGGTTTGGTGCTACATTTCTCTTTCCAGTAAAGCACAACTGTTTTCCAGATGTATTTCTGACTGGGAAAGAAGGGGATAATCTTGCCTGTTCCAACTGGCTTAATTTAGACTCCATAAACTGTTCTGTCCATTCCTAAAACATCTTTTCACTGAAACCGCTCCAAGTTCCCATGTTCGTCAACGCACTTTAGATTGAGTGACTATTTTTGATGAACCCCCAGGTGGTTTACCCTACAAATCACAATTCTGTCTTTTTATTCCAGCTCTTTATGTTTCTTCACCCACCATGTTGAAACACAAAACAAAATCTTTTAGTTTCGGAAGGGTTGGGGAAAATAGCTGGTGAAATGGATTAATAGCATTCTGGAGTATAACTTTTTGAAGAAATTATTGACGTACTAGCTTACAAAAAATATTGAGGATGAACAGATTAATGTGGTCATTTTGACCCCTTTGCACAACTCTAAATAGTTTTATCGTGCGAAATGTATAAATTGTTATAGCTACCCCAGAGTACCGTTTGTTGACAATGTGCTGGTCAGCGTTAGTTCTATGCATTTACAGTTATTAATCACAAATAACCTATATCCTAACTAGGTAAAAACCAAGTGGCAGAAATGTTGCACATTTTGGAGATTGAGTATAGTTGTAGTTAATAATAAATAACAACACTTAAATGGGTTATTATGTTCTCTTTCCCTTCGTCATTTTGTGTAGCTATGTTGCACTAATATATTTTATCATTCCAAATCTTGTCTTATGCATTAATTGTTCACAAGGTTAAGTCTTTAATTGAAAGTGCTACTTTAGAGGCTGTCCCAAGGGCTTGGCAGATGAAGGTATTCTACAGGGTAGCACTGAGCCATATAGAACTGAAGGCTCCTATATTTGATTCTCAAGATGTGCCGAGTCATAAATTTCAGGCAAGATGGCACTACAGTTGGGCTCTGCACCTGAGAATCAAGGTGGTGAAATTAGAATTTATATTAATTTGTATAGTACTTGTTATGGTAAAATACCCCAACAATTCACGTAGCCAAAGCCTGCATCTGAAGATATTTTTGACGAGTGGAAGGCAGCTTGCACCTGTGAAACAATATCTTAGTCTGAGTTGAGCCTTTGGGACAGGGAAGGGAGTAAATTAGGAGGTGGAGGATATGAGACAAATGTGCAGCACCCAAAACCATTCACGAACAATAAGTTGAAAGGGCTACATAATCTCAATAGCAGTTCTTATTCCACAGTGCAGTGCACTAAAACTTGAGAGATTCAGGCTGCTTGCTGTAATGTTAAGTCCAATTGGTATAATGCTGATATTGTGG